TGTTTACCATTGACTAAATTGTTAGTGCAAAAGAGGTAGTCTTTTTATTAGTGAGAAAAAAAATCTTTAATTAGGCTTTGTACAATATGTCTTTAATTTACAATATACTTTTGCTGTCATTTCTAACATAAGTAATTCTACACAAATGTTCCAAAATGGGCATACATTTGCAAGACTTCCTTACTAAAAATTATGTTCTTCTGGAGGCTAGTGTTAACAGTGTTGAGGCCCTACTAACCGCTCAACAGCTGCTCTGTGCTATACACTTATATGTGGAAGGGTCGCATGGCAAACATACCTACCCCCCAAAGCGCAATAGATGCTCAAATGCAACTCAGATACCATTTTGCACTCACTAGCATAGAGGAAGACAGCTAGCAGCAGATGGCCTCTAAAAGAGACAGCTACAGAGCTCCTATGAAGTCACAGGACACACATTTAAGACCCAATGAAAATCCCTTGCCTAAGAAACTGCAGCTGATGAAAAAAAAAAGATCCCTGGTGGAAAACGTCTTTGAATAAAATGTGGGGAAAATTTTGGTCGCAACTGGGTTTGCATGGTCAGGTAAAATATTTCACTCGCACTTGTTCTTCAAAATCAAAGAAAATGTCTTATCATTCAGTGAACATTTAGTTTAGTAAGAAATAAAAATGAAGCAAACTGAAGTGATGCACTGTGATGAATTGCTCTATATTTTTAATGTTTGTCTCTTTTTCTTTTGAAAGATACAAATTAATATTTACTGGCCATTGCAAGAAGAAAATGGAGAAAAATTGTTTGTGTTTGAGCAACCAGATAGTACGGGGAAAAAAGAATTTATTTGTCAGTATCGTGTGAAGCTGTTGAATGAAACTGGTGACCAGACATACATCAAAAGAGAAATGCTGCTATCAAAAGAAAATAAAGATGGCAAGGTAAGTGTTTGTATTAAGCATAGTTGTCTCAATAAGTTTGGATCAGTCATGTAATTAAACGAAATATCATAGAACAAAGTTTTGAGTACCAACAACGGCTAACGATCAGTTTCGTGGACTTCAAAAAAGCGTTGATAGTGTCCACAGAGAATCACCATGGAAAATAGTCAGAGAATACGGTATCCCAGAAAAATTTGTCCAGATCCTACGACACCTTTACAGTCAATCTAGTTGCTGCATTAAAACAGAAGAGGGAACAACAGAGTTTTTTACAATCGAGACAGGTGTGAGACAGGGGTGCATCTTATCTCCCTTCCTTTTCCTCCTAGCCATCGACTACATAACGAGGAGAGCAATGAACCAGACTGCCTTTGGTATTCCATGGCATGAATAGCTCCGATTGACGGACTTGGACTTTGCTGATGATGTTGCACTACTCGGGGCATTCAAGAAATGACGGAGAGCCTAGACAGAGAGGCACCCAAAATTGGCCTCCGCATAAACTTGGATAAGACTAAAATTATGCGAGTGGGATATAAGGCAAAGGGTGTCCCCGTCAGACTTGGCGAGTCAAAGCTTGGAGAGCTGGACAAGTTCACGTACCTTGGCAGCATCATAACAAATGATGGAGATGCTTACCATGATGTAGAGTGCCGAATAGGAAAGGCAGGGAGCATTTTCCAAAGGCTGCAGCCTATTAGGACTAGCCAAGCCATTGGACTCGAGACAAAAATACACCTTCTCAACACAATCGTCATTCCAACTGCTACATATGCATGTGAGACGTGGAAGTCATCTGTCAAAATTGAGAAAATGATGGCTGAGACGGATTTTGGGAGTCAGTTACACAGATCGGGTCTCAAACAAGGAAATCCTATGCCGAACTGGGAGTCAAACACTTGGTGAGGTTGTGACTGAGCGTCGCATGAGGTTTGCGGGACATGTTCTACTTCAAAATGAATTACGCACACCAAGAGTTGCGATAACATGGAAGCCAAAACAAGGAAAGCGCAAACAGGGACGCCCTCGTATTACTTGGCGACACACCTTCATGGAGGACCTCAGAACAGTGGACACTAGGTGGGAGGAGGCTTCAGACATTGCCAGTGACAGATCTTTATGGAGACAGCTTGCCGCCCAATGCGCCGAACGGCGCGGTAGGACCTAAGTCTAAGTTAACTAACTAATTAGTTAATTTTTTTTTATTGATTCTTGTGTTGTCAGGTAAAAGAAATATTTGTGCAAAATTTCAGCTTGATCTGAGATTGGGTGTGTTGCATATACTATTATATCTAGGTGTTTTCTTTGTAAAGTTGCATATTTATTTTGTTTTCAGCCTTTAGATGAACCTCGTAAAATTTACCAGTTTCATTACATGATTTGGCCAGATTACAATGTTCCTGATGACCCTGGCTCAATGATAGACTTCTTAGAGAGAATCAACAATCTCTTAGACTCATTACCAAGTCCTGGCCCTGTTGTTGTCCATTGCAGGTTGGATATAGTCTTTAGCCACTCATTTACCACAGTTTTACCAGTATTCTAACATAAACCTCTCATTTCTTCAGGAATGGAATATAGCACTCCAAGGTAGTAAAGCAGCATTTCTCAATCTGTGTGGCCAGTTTGTAAGGGCAAAACCAGTCTATTTATTTTTTAAGAGACAGAGAATTTGAATTTTATTGTAGTTATAAATCCATATAAGAATATTAACCAAGTAAAAGGACACTACCAATGTTTCAAAAATTAAAATTGTTAAGATATTGGTTTAATCTTCTAAGTAGGATCTTTTAAAATGTAGCATGTTGTAGTTTTTTACCACAATCACACCCATTTGAGACATCTGTGTTCTAATTGTACCTCGAATGTCCCTCACAAAAAAATTTTGGATAGTGCTGCCTCCTTTATTACACTTCATTTGATCTGCTTATCTTTTTATGGTTTTTTTTTCTTTACTTTCTTAAAATCCTTCTGTATTTCACTATGGAAGCATAAATCGATACCCGATTCTCTCAGCTGGCTGGGGGGGGGGGGGCACAAACATGCTCAATTTTGTTGGGGATGGGGCGCCAATGGTAAACGTTTAAGATACACTGTAGGAAGATATAAACAAATCCAACATTGATGAAAGCAATTAAGGAGGAGATAATCAGTATTGGCATTACTGTCTTTGTTTGATGATTTGGCAAATGCTTGAGACTGCAATCTTCCAATGTTTGATATAGTTTGTTTTTTTTCTTCAGTGCTGGTATAGGAAGGACTGGTACTCTTATTGTTGCTGATATGATCATAAACCAGATCAAAACACATGGTAAGTGTTGGTAATGTCCCTTTCAAAATCCATAATGTTTCAAGAGTAGACTAGTTTTTGAAGGTGCTGTGATCATAATGACCAAGCTAATGTCATGTCAATAAAGTTGGAAGTACATTCTTTACATTCTAAATTTTTTTTACTTTGATTTCATTGATTCCAGGCCTGTGTGCTATGCTTTATCACAAATCTGCCAAGTTGATAACACTAACTTAAACAGTAATTTAAGTTATGTTACCTTTCATTGAGAAATGGGATAAAGTTCACTTATTTTCAATAGTTTCACATCTGCAGTTCATGAGTTTCTTAACAACAACCAACTGCCACTTTGTGTGTTGTTGTTTTTTTTTTTTTCAGTCTACATTAATGATTAATTATAATCATTTAGTTTTTATATCAAAAAGTGAAAGTTGTGCCTTCACTCTGATTCTTAGACACACAGTGTTTTCCAATGGAATCTTGACACACAAATAGGGAGTTAGTTAAGCAATGAGCTAATTAGTAAGTAGTACAAAATAATGGTAACATTTTTTTTCTATTCTTCAGGTTTTGATTGTGATATTGATATTTTCAAATCTATTCTGATGGTCAGAGGTCAGAGGTCTGGTTTAGTTCAAACACAAAGTCAGTATCAGTTTGTTTACCTAGCTGTTCAGAGATACATGGAAATAGAAAGGCAAAGACAGTTAGCTGGGCAGGTAAGTCATAGAACAAATTAAGTTTGGCAAAAAGAATCTAAAAAAGAAAACTATGTACTTCAACATAGGAAAGAGAATTCACCAAGCAAAAAATTAAAGAGTTGAGTTGGCACGAGTACATTGAAGATAAATCACTGGAAATTTAATAAAAAATAATTCTTCCTTCTCTTTCAAACAAACTGTTAAGACTCTAACAATATTTTCAGACCAATGCAGGGAGAGAGTATACAAACATCAAATATGCCACAGGCGCTGTAGAGGCTGCAAAGAGAGCTCAAGCTATGGGACACCCTCCACCTGTCCCTCCATTGCCGCATCCAGGTTTTCGAAAGAGGGATGTCAAGTAAGACACTGAATTTTGGTGGGGGGGGGGGTGGGGGGGGCTTTAAATTTGACATAAAAAAATAATACATTTTTACTTTGACTTAATCTAATCCAAAGCTATGAATCTTTGTAGTTGAGATCACAAATGATTTTTTAAAAAAAATTAATGTCTAAATTAATGATTTTTTATTTATGAAATATTAATTAATTTTAACAGAGAATCCATTGTTTTTAATGTTATAATAGTTATTAGTATAAATAAACAAATAAAATATTGAATTTCTTAATTTTGTTACCGGACCTTTTAAAACTGGTATGATGAAAATGATTTATTTATAATTAAAGTAAAACTTTAGGATGTATAGAAAAAAGTAAATCAAAGTATTGTCTACTTGCCTAAGGAGTTTATTAATTCTAAATACTTATGACACAACTTTCAGATTGCCCCCAGATGACTCATCAATGCAGTATCAGAATATAAACAATATTGACACTTAGACAATCTGGCTTCAGAATTAAAAAAAAAAAATATTGAAATTTCACAAGAGATGTTCATGCCATGTTGAAAACTTCACTAAATGTGTTACGAAATCGATGGAATCAAGGCTTCACTCTGATCCCTAGTAAATTTGTTGTGACTAACCCTTTAGTCCTACTTTTGGCTAGATAACAAATAGACATTTGTAGCAACTCCAATGAACTGTTAGTTTTAATGTTTTACTGGTATGAAGCAGACAAGTATGGGAAAAGGGGGGGGGGGGGGAATTCCTGTTGCTGTTTTTCTTTTAATGTGAACATTTATTGTCAGTTTTTAAAACAAGTTTTAGTTGTATTATAGATGTCAAGAGATGACACATGCACACACAAATATAATCACATTATTGCAAGTATTACATTTTTTTTAGTCATTTTAAAATATTAATGATATAAAATATTTTAGTTAAGAAATGTACCCGTGCATTTTTCTGATGGCACACTTTTTTATTGTTATATTTTGCGAAGCTTAAAAAAAATGTGCTTCCCCACAATAAATCAATAGTACAATAATCAGCACTCACTATTTTTATTTGTATTTCTACATTGTCTTTTATAACTAATTTTATAACATTTTACATATTTAGTATATTTATGTTATCAAATTTCCAAAAATTGTGTAGGCTTCTCTGATTCAGAAACATCAGTTTACATTCCAAAAAAAAAAAAAGAAAAGAAATATTGCATTAATATAGCTAAATATTCAAGCTGATTATTTGAATGAATGAAAGAAATGTGATATGTTTGAGTGACACAATATAGATTGTATTAGTGAAATTAAACAAATTAGTGATTTTGAATGTCATCAAATGTCTATGCACATAGTATTTAAAAAGTGTTATTGGAAGTTGTTAGTTAAATGTTTAAGAACTCAAAAATGTCCATGTTTGTTTGTTGTTTTAGTACTTTTAACTACTTATTAATTATTGCACTTTCAGAGCAATAAGCTTCTGAAAACAAAATATTGATCTCCACATGATGTGTGTGAGAACAAGCAGAGAAAAAAAACATATTTTTAAGAATATATTTTGTAATAAAAAATCTTAAATGTACATTTTTCTATACTAAAATTCTTTTATTGACTTCCTTCTCAGAAATGAGAAAAATTGTAAATTACTGCACAGAAATGCTGTTGACACATTTTTTTTTAGAAAGATACTTTATTTTATGTAACCCAACAAGGATAGACATACCAACTGGAAACACATTTTCGCATTCTTCTTTTAACCAGCTTTTTTGCTGCTGCACTGCAGAATCTCGTGAATTAATGCACACCTCTGAGCCATAGCTATTATATTCTTTTTAATGAAGCTAAATTGCCCCATAGAGACAGTGTTGTTTATGAAGACTCATTACCAGCTGAGAACTATGTGTTCCTGCTGAGAGTTACAACATAAATTTGTGCCTCTAGCAAACATTATAGGCTAGTTGTGTAGATGTAGGTTTTAATTCTAAAACTGTTGACTTCCAGAGAGATAGAGAGATGAGTAAACCCAAAAAGAAGATGACAGTGGTCCATAGAGTACAGCTTAAGAAATGGGGCTCTATTGGAAAGATGGACTGAAATAGAGTTCAGCTTACCCAAACATGTCAAAGCTATTCTTTGGCCAGCAACATACCATTTTCTTTGCTTAGGTTACAAAATCAGGCAGTCATAGTGCATTCACCATTTTTAAACTACACAAAACCAGTATATTAGTATATACACTGTAACTAAAAAAAGTGTAATTGTGCTTAATCAAAGGATTACATTTAATACAAATCCGCTATGACAGTGTATATCAGATTTACTTTTATTTGTGTGTTAACATCCTTAAATTAATTGATTTCTTGTTGCATTTCGGCTGGCCCTTTTTAATTAGTTGTTTTTTGATAGACTTGGTTATCACTGACCTATGTCGTATGTTTTGCTCCCTGTTGTCAACTTTTGACCTACTGTGATTCAGTGTTTTGATTGCCATACCTGACTTGAGAATGAGGCTCAGATGTAGAATCTATGTACTCAAACAAAACAAAACAAGCTTTATTTGCATTCAATTGATTCCACTTGTGCAAAGTAAAAACTTTTTTTTTTCTAATTTTATATGTTTTTTGAAAAGAGACACTTTTTATTAAAAAGCATTGACAAAATTATAACAAAATAATCTTGGGATTTAAAAAAAAAAAATATTTCTGTGTCATGGCTTAAGTAATAATTAAAATAAATACTTTTAACCATAATGTCATTAAGATTAACAAGGATTTTAAAGTTAAAATCAATTTTTAATAATTGGTTTCATCCTTACCTGTTCTATATTCAGGGACACCACACTTGATTTGATATTGAGTTCCCTTCATCTCTTAATTTTCTGCCATCATTATAGTTACACCCATTGTTTAGACTATCTATTCTTTTCATTATTTTGTGTTTGTAAGGCCTTTGGCATGGATCAATAAATTATTTTTTTTTTTTTAACAATCGTCATGAAGCTCATGTGAATGTTCAACTAACCTATTGATCTCACTGCTGTAGATATGGTTTCTGTAGTAATGTCTAGTTGCATCCTAAAGCAAGTGTCTTCTGGTGTAAAGTTCTTTAACTCAAATGGTAATATATATTTTTCTATATATTAAAAACAGTTTATCAATGTGGGCAATATAGTTAAAGCTCTTTTTAATTACCAAGCTACCAAACGTCAATATGTGCTATAAGCTGTTTGGGTCTCTTTCAAGAGGTCTTGTTTGAGATGATAATGACAAGAATGAAAATAAACTGGTTTCATTATGAATTTGTTTTTTTAAATTCTAATTTAATATGTTTACTTTTTATTAAATTTTCAAAATTAAATGTTGGTTACACATCAATGAAAAGGTTATTTTAATGTTTTTTTATGCAGATTTAAATTTTGATTTTCCTCCAAAATTCTTGTTGAAAACTAAAAGTAATTTTTTTAAAAAATCTCTTCACAAAGTAGATAAGAATATATAATTTTTTTGAGCATTATTTAGTGGGCCATCTCAATTGTTTCCATAATTTGTTTTACCTTATCTCTGTTTATCACTGATTCTACTTGTTAATTGTTACGGCCTATTGTTTTCAAGAGATTATGAGTGTAGTCAGTAAGCCTATATGTTAGTTTTACATTCACATTGTGGCCATACCCATTACATTATCAACATGCTCGTTACCAATAAAGCTTCTTCATTTTTCTTCATTGATTTCATATTCACTGACTAGCCATTCATCCTTCTCCATTTTCTGTAACTTCTGTTTGTACAATGTGTTCCCATAACTATATGTAAGACTTAACAGTATTGTCAATATTGGGTTTATGAGAATGGATTATTAAAATTATGTTTTTTGTTTCCCCCAGTTTTCTGACTTGAAGTTATAAATAAACTTCCTATTTGTGCTATGGGACATACACAGAGCTAATGGTTCTCCTTTATTGATGTACACACACATACATACACATAGCTAATAGTTCTCATTCATTGATGTACACACACATACTCAGAGCTAATGGTTCTTCATTAATGTACACACACATACACAGAGCTAATGGTTCTCCTTCATTGATGTACACACACACATACACAGAGCATATGTTTCTCCTTCGTTGATGTACACACACGTCTTACAAGATGAAGAAACTGGGTGTGGCAGTCCTTAGTGTATTAGTTTGATTGTCATGTGGTCAAATATTTAGCTATAAAAAGAATATTGTATACACTAACTTACTGGATTTTTTTATTATTATATTACTTTCTTTTGGATGGTGGGGTAGGGCACCACACATGATCCCAAAACCATTTCTCTCAATTCTCTCTTGTCCAGGACTAGAGTCTCTTCCATAGACAGGCCAGCCCATTCCTTAATGTTGTCCTCTCGTCTTTGTCCGTCTCTCGTTTTTCCTGGTAATGTTCCCTGCAGAACATTTTGCGAGCCATGAAGATCACGTTAAATGACCGTGCAGCCTTAACCTGCGTTTTTTTTATGGTAGTCAGAAGGTCACCACGGGCCTAATCGCCCAAATGGCATCAAATTCTTACGGTCACGTTGAGTCAATAAAATTTTAGGACAAACAAAATGTGACGATCTCGCCTAGGAGGTGAGTTCCGTTTCTTTCTCCACTCCAGATAATGTTGAGTGCTAATTGGTGGCTTTGAAGTAAGTACTGGCATGCCGCGATGACCTTTTAGCTCAGTAGCACACACACAAAACATGACAACCATTTCCTGTATCCAGATGTTGAACTCTCCATGGGCTGTAGTGCCACTAAAAAAGATCTAACATTTGTTTAAAAACTAAATTTAAAAAAAAACATTGAGGCTATTGCCTGGCAGTGATAGAGAAGATTAAATAGAAAAAGGTGAAAGAGATCATATAGAATATCAAGCGATCGTGAGTTGTCACTTTTGGCATTTTGTGTAAGGCACTTAGATGATGATTAGGAACGCGTATGATTCCCTAAGTTAGTGAGGATACAAATTTTAAAAATGTGACAGATTGTAGACCTACATTTGAGATAATGTTCACAGATAGTGCCTAATTAAAATAGTAATCATACTGTCATTATTATCACATTATGTCAGTCCGTTAACAAATACTGAGGGAAACGCTACAGCCATAAGGAACGAACCATTATATTGTTACTCAGTGTTGTGTAAAGCAGAGGCTTCGTGGTTTTATGTTCATAGAACTGAAGCATTAACAAGTAAAATATTTGAAAACATATTTAGAAATCTCGCTTAGGTCTATATGGACAGAAATTGCATCAATTATTTTGAATCAATCATGTAAGGTAATTAATTTTCAATCACTCAAAATGTAACCAAATAGGCTACCTGCAATATGAGATAGGTTTGTAGTCCAAAAATGGACAGTCGTGATTATTGTCACTCGCCGATTTAGTGCGTATTCCATATAACATGCTTAATACGCTATAGTCAAATCTCGATTGGGGACCAGTGTGAGTGTGTGAGCAGGGTCGGTCTTAGGGCACTGCAACCTATGCGGCCGCTGTGGGCCCCACACTTTCATAGGCCCCGCGCTAACTCTAGTTGTAAATAATTGAATTAAACCATTTTAACTTACAACAGGATTTCCGCGGTCTCCTGATTTTCCAGGAGCTCCTGGAAATGTTCTGAAATTGCAAAATATACGAAAAGAGACATGAAAATCTCCTGAAATTATTAAAATATCCTGAAAACTCAAAACAAGTTCTGAAAAATAGAAAAAAAAAATTAATTTTGGTGTGTCAATCAATATGGAAAACAAAAATCCTACTAGCGATTAAAAAAAAAAATCGGTATTTTCAGCTTTCATTTGATAAAAATAATTGGGAGAATTTTAACAAAAAAAAAAGTACGTTCCAATACTTAATTTACAGTAATAGTCAATGGCATTTAAATATCTTCTATATATATAATTATCTTCGTCGCTCAAGAATTTGGACGAGAAGAAGAAGTTAAGGAAAGATCACTCTCTTATTTCTGCGGATAGTTACCCCACGAAAAAAACAAGAAGTGGGCGGGGGAGAACAAGTATTCACCGGTCACTACAATACATTAAAAAAAACAAAAACAGAATGATGAAATATGAGCTGATTTGTCGTAAAGCAGATGTTAAGAACAGCAGACGACCTTGAGAGATAAAATAGTAAAGACGTGTTTTAGTTGTGAGGATTTTCTTTAAATATCAGTTTATTTCATTACTCTTAGATCTCATCTCAAGTTAGATCTGTATATATTGTAATAAATTATATTGAGTTTTTGTTCACAAGAGAATTTTGTTCGTTATTCAAGTTTGTTTATTAAAAATATAAGTCTACATATGTTTAGTTGAAGCCTACTAGCTGTTTGGAGCCACAAGCCAACGACCGACCAACAACACTCGATAAATACAAAATGGAATTTTGTCAGCGCACAGACCTATTTCTATGTCTATGTGTCAGTGTTTATATGTTCCCACATCACCGGTACATAGCATAGAAAGGTTACTTGTGTAGGCCTATATAACTAAGTGATTCGTTGCGGTTGAAAGAGTTCTAAATTTTTTCATTAATAGGGACATTTTTTTTTGCCATTTGTCAATGGTTAGCCTGTATTTTTTTTTGGGGGGGGGGGGGGGGTCTGTCATCCTTCAGTTGAACGGCACACATCCCACGAATTTAGACTGTTTCAACTTACGTCTTTAATCCATTAGTTATAATTCTAAAAAAAATATTCTCGGACTGCCAGCATTATAACAATCCCCATCCCGGCATTAAACATGATTAATGAAAAGCACTCCCCCCCACATCACCACTCACCGTTTGGCACTTGCAATTGAAAGTCCCAATTAACGTCCCCCAAGACAATTAATTTGCATCGTCCTAAAATAAAAACCCTACACACTAGGCCTACATTTACTTTGGCCCTGAGAATTATAAGAATCATAGAAGATGAATGAAACTTTTAAGCTATCTTCAAAATGAAAACTCCATTCTATTCACAATTCGGTCCATCCTTCACACACGAACTATTGTTTGATTTCGTCTTCAAATTACATCCGACCTTTATTAATGTCATGATGTCGAATGTCAAAATGCAAGGGCCCCTGAAAAGGCGAATCCCACACGCTAACACACTCAAATAATTTTTCCTGTTAGTTATTTCCAGTAAGCTTTGGGCTGTAGAGGCTCGTTCGCTTTGGTTGGCTAACTATATAGAAGAAGGAAATCTGAATCCCAACCTCTGCTACCTTGGGGCAATATCCATACATAGGAAATGATTCGGGAGTTAATCCTGAGGAAAAATCGGGAGCCTGCTACACTTAGGCAGCCTGAAGTGCTTCACCTGTGGTTTGTGATACGCCACTGACTCCAAACTATACCTGAACTTGCCTTTGAACACATCATCTGCGTGGAGATTTGGGAATGATATAGACTTACCATTTCATACTGCAAATTTATCTACGTGCAAGCGGCTTCATATTCTGTGTTCTCTAATTAAAAGGAGATATCTATCAGGAGGGGCTCGTTAGCTTGGACTGGCTAACAACCTTAAAGGTGGAAATCCGAATCCACAATTTTTTTGTTTTTGGATCTTTATTTCTAAATCTAGAATGGCTGTAAATCCATCATCTACACAACAGTTTCTCCCTCTTCAAGAGGATATCTAGGTTTCTATTCTTCTGCTTCTAGTTCTTTGTTAAAATATAATATTTGGTTGGCGCTTTTTTTTTTCTTATTACATTCCACAAATCGTAACT